TACACACACACACACACTTTCTCTCTCTCTCTCTCTCTCTGTGCGCGCAACGACCAGGAGGATGGTGACGATCCGGACGGCGACGATGGCAGACCTGCTGAACATCCAGCACTGCAACTTGCTCTGCTTGCCGGAGAACTATATGATGAAGTACTTTCTCTATCACAACCTCACTTGGCCCCAGGTGCGTGTGATGATGGGTAGCGCGGGGTGGGTGTGATCGGGTCCAAACGCGGGTGGTCGCGTGCTCATGCTCGTGTTCGTGCTCGTGTGCAACAAATGCACTTGATGCGATGTAGCTGTCCTTCTTGGCGGAGGACGACAATGGCCAGGTCGTGGGCTATGTCCTGGCCAAGATGGATGAAGGTCCGTGCACCGCGCAGCACCAAACGAAAGAAGGGGACGAGCCAGAGGAATAGACCTGGTGGAGCGCAATCTCAGCATCGTGCACCTCACCCGAGGTTGACCCTTGCACTTGTCCATTCCTCTTTCAGATAACACGGATGATCCTCATGGCCACATCACCTCGCTGGCCGTTAAGCGCTCCTATCGCCGTCTTGGCATTGCCCGCAAGCTCATGGAGCAGGCGGCTGCCGCCATGGTGACCTGCTTCCATGCTCGTTACTGCTCCTTGCATGTTCGCCGCAGCAACCGGTGCGTCCCAACCCGCTCAGCGCTCAGGAGTCGCTTTTGGCCCGGTGGCGCCTGGCCACCAGGTCCTCATCATCTCACGTTCCTTCATTCCTTTGCTTTGACTGCTGGCAGAGCCGCATTCAACCTGTACAACAAGACGCTCGGATTCGAGTGAGTGGCCGACCGGTGACCGCGGGCATCCCTGCCCGTTTACATCTCACTTGTGCTCGTGTTCGTGCTCGCATTGGCTAGTATCGCACAATTGGAACCCAAGTACTATGCCGATGGGGAAGACGCCTATGAAATGCGCCGACCCCTCGTCAAATCGCTCGAGCTCTGCAAGGTACACTGCTGCTGGTCTTCTCGGGCTGGGAAGCCTCTCATGGTGCTGGGAATTTCGAGTTGTTTATCTGTTGTGTGCCACCTCATTCGGACGATTCGGTATGCTTCTCCACATCCAACTAGTCGTCCGAGGAGCGTCACGGCTGCAAGGGGGGCTTGGCGGCCTTGGAAGCCAGCTTCCAGGAGGAAAAGAAAGCCGAGAAGAAGTGAGCGCCCCTTAAGCTCACTCTGCCTCTGCCGCTCTCGAACCAAATCTTTTGGGCTGTGACCCAAGGTCACACACAACGCCCTGCACTTCCAATTCCAGATGACCCTCCGTCAGCGCACAAGCGCCTCGTGTCTTGTCCTGCTCCAATCCCTGAAGAAATCTTTAACCTTTTCAAAAATTGAAGGCAAAGCCGCATGCACGGGCCGTCCCAACGATTGCCTACTTTTTAATCGTCACCCACGCTCTTAACCCACGCTCTTGACCCCACAACTGGCTCTGCTTCTTGTCTTTTCCCTCTGATCTTCGGCAGCCCGCGGGAGCAGTCCAAACCCATTTAGGTGGCAAGGTGCAACGACCAATTTCGAGCGCATCAGCCAAGAGTCAAAACAGAGCTTGCTTTCTCGCCTCGTGTCATCTCATGCCGAGCGCTCAAACGGGGGATGAATAGCAATTGTATCAAAACGCTTCGCTCGTCGGCCGCCGGGCTTGGTACAGGCTGTCAATGTGCACGCGGCCATCGAGCAAACCATAGACACCACCCGTATGGATGAAGCAGGTGTTGACGTTGGCAAAATCAGGGTGGGCATTGACGAGGGCTTGCAGGCCCAGGACACCCTTGCAAGTATAGGTGGGGTCGAGGATGACGCCGGTGCGGGCACCGACGGCCCGAATCATGGCCAGGTGCTCGTCGGAGAACTGTCCATACCCCTCTCCTTTATAGCCCTCCACAATGGTCAAAAGGTCTCGGGCTTGCGCGGTCACACCAAACTCATCGAGGGTTTCCTGAACGTGGTTGTAAAAGTAGTCGGCATTATCACACACGGCAACGGCCCAGATGCGGTAGCGCCGGCCCGTGAGCCAGTTGGCCAGAGCGAGGCCTGCCGCAGTGCCCCCCGAACCCGTGGACAAGACGATGTGGGTTATGTCAGCCGCTCCACACTGAGCATCAAGGTGGTCCCAGGCGTCGAGATAGCCCCACAAGCCCACGCGATTGGAGCCACCCACGGGGATGTGGTAGGTGCGACGACCCTGGCGCTCAAAGGCGGCCTCGTCGGCAGCCATGACGGGTCGCAGCACGGTGGCATAGGGCGCCCCGCGCGGAACGAGGGAAATGGTGGCTTCCAGGGCGGCATCGAGTAGGTAGTTGCCTTGACTATGATGCGGGGGTGGGGCTTCCCCCTCGGAGCCAGCGCGCAAGACGAGGTGGGGGTGTAGGCCCACCTCCCGTGCGAGGACGGCGGTGGCTCGCGCGTGGTTGCTTTGTACGCCACCGCAGGTGGTCACCACGCTGCAGCCACGCTGCAGGGCATCAGCCAGGATGAATTCGAGTTTGCGCAGCTTATTGCCCGCCCCCGTCCCATGAGTCAGGTCATCGCGCTTGATCAGGAGCCGGCCACCGTGGGGCTGCTCAAAGGGGGCCCACGCATGCAAGGGCGTCTCGGCCAATAAAAGCTAGGTCCGCGCAAGCAAAGTGCAAAGAGCCCCGAGGTGAGCACAAATAAGCAAGGCCGTCAACTGCGGGCGCCCCAAGCGGGTCAAAGTATCGGCACTCGAGGCGTACGTTAAGTCGAGTTTCCGGGCAGTGCGGTAGAGTACGAGCCCATGCGGGAGGTTCATAGGCATCCAGGGTGCGATACGTTCCACGCGAGCGCTGTTGCTGTTGCTGTTGCTGTTGCTGCAGTTGTCGTTGTTGTCTGCGCAGCCGCCAAGGCCGATGTAGAGTCGGGCCAGCGGCAAGCGGCGCCATGCCCATGCACTGCTGCCGGAGATGAACAGCCAGCCGCGCAGGGCGCGGCCAGCTCGAGACCTTGAGCATAGCGTCCTTTTGCTATAGCCCGCACATCCATAAGAATGAATGAGCCCGATGACGCTGTTAAGACTCCCACAGCCACGATTCCCTCTTCCCAGCCCCCTCTTTCACCCGGCTGCATCCAGCCCAAGCCGCACAAGACGTCAGGGCAGATGCGTTGACCGATCCAGCAGCAGCAGCAGCAGCAGCAGTAGCAGCAGCAGCAGCAGCAGCAGCAGGAGGCAGGGCGTAACGTACGTTCTTGAATGGACTCAAGCTTCCGGTAACAAGTCTAGTATTGTCGATAGAAACTGAAAAAAAAGCTTCATAAACTTCAAAAGCTGCTTCAGTTTCCTTCATAGACATCCATGCAAATAAACTTGAAATCTGTAACTACTTAAAGGTTCGCTACAATAAAACCCCTCAATCTACCTCAACAAGTGCAGAAACAGAAACAATTGCTTCAGCTTTCGTGCGCTCGGTCAATGTCAGCATTATTATTCAAGTAAAATACTTTCTGAATTTCACCTGCATGCATGTATGCAAATCGACAGTCGCGCAGCGACACATCCGCAACACGAGAGACCAAACGCAACCTCCGTCCACCCCCACACGTCTTTTTCGCTGGCGTCAGGCTTCTCGCTTGATCTCAATGACGTGGGGTAGATGACAAGGGCGTGGAGGCGTCGAGAATCTGTCTCCCTTTGGCTCCAGGCTGTCAATGTCGCCCGGGCAACCACTTGACGTCTTCCCCTACTCCCCAAGGGGTTCATCTGATCGGTTACCGTGTCGGGTGGTACCATCTTGTTGGCTCAAGCACTCGTGCAGCGCTTTGCCCGACCTATGATCCAAACGGCGCTTATCCCCCGCCACCCCCGCCACCCCCGCCACCCCCGCCGCCCCCGCTGCCGAAAGACCGATCAGTTCATTTCAGACAGGCTGATCCTTACGTTGATGTCCAGGCTTTTGGTTTCTGCCCGAAAACGCACGTTGCACGTTGGATCCGCTTGCTGCTTAAGTCCCTAGCCGTCCAAGTCATCAACGATACTTCAATCTCTGCCACCACCCCACCACTCAATCTTTCCTGAATACCATCTCAAACCGACTCGTGCCCAAGTGTCGCAACCCCAATCGCGACGTACAAATCGTTTTTTTTCCTTCCTTTTCCGCTTCTCCATCGACGACCTGACTTAGCTACGGCCAGATATCTGGGCCCCTGGGCCCGCTACTTTCTTTGCCATAAACCAAAGTCATGCTCGGGGCCCGCCCCGTGGCGGCAGATCCGGTGCTGCACGATCCCGACACCGACGTCAGCTCGCACCAAGACCCTGATACCACACACGACCACGACCATGACACAACCATGCGCCGGAGTACGTGCGTGTTCCACCAGCATGGCTCAGAGTTGTGACCCCCCTCTTCTGATCATTGTCGGCTCGCCTTTTTCTCTAATGCCCTTAGACACGAGCGCCAGTAGCCAAGGGAGCAACGAAGTGCGAACGCCCGAACCGAGCGACATGCGAACCATTGTCGTCAACCTGTCTGGTACCGATTTTGGGTTCAAACTCTATCAGCATGGACCGTTTGTCTTCTTCAAAAACGTTACGCAGGCCCGCCAGGCTGAAGGCCTGCATGAACACGACTTTCTCGCTGGCATCGATGGTCATACCACCGTCGGCCTCGGCCTCAACGAAATTTACTACGCCCTCATGCACGCAAAAGAGGCCCGACTTACCATTTCTGCCACCCCTGCCGAAGAACCCGAGGCCCAGGCCCCGCTCTCGCCCAATCGTGGTGTTCCCGTACTTCTCAAAGACACCAGCCCACCAACGTCGGCCCGCGACACTCTCGCTCGCCGCTCAGGCCGCCAGGCCCGCCAAGCAGCGCAGACCCACACCACCTCTCTTGAAGAGTTTGATCTGCACACCAGTGTGCTCATGCCTACTGAGCCGCGTCGAAAATCCTTCTTTGCTCGTCTCAGCGCCCGGCGCAAGTCATCTTATCGGCTCAATAAAGACCAACAGAAATCAAAAAAGCGCACTGGCTCCCGATGGCTGCGTCGCGGCAATGATCGTCGGGGGCGTGATGACCAGGTGGAGCCTTCCACTGGCCATGGTCCAGCAGGCATTCACAAGGGCAGTGGTGTCGAGCTGATGCAGTATCGCGCTCTACCCTCACCCACACACGTTGCAGGTGCTGGCCAGTCCCCATCCTGGCCCGCCGCGGACACCACTGCCCCACCCGGTGCCGTTCGACGTATTAGCTCCTTTGCCGAGGAGACGGTCTTTGGAGAGGATCGCCAGAGTTCCATCTGCCGCCGTCGCATCACCAGTCCCGACTTGAAGGAGCGGCACTCGGACGCAGCCCCGCCCAACCTCGCTGCCAGTGCCAGTAGCGCTCTGGATGAAGACGAAATGGATGTGGGCGGTGCTGCTGATACGGTACCCCCCATGCCAACGGCGGCCTCAGCCCCGTCCATTCACGTCGCCGACGTCACGAACGCTGATGCATGCCCACGACCGCGGACAACCAGTCAAACCAGTTCCTCCTACACACCGCGATCCGGTACAGATCGAGGCAGTCACCTCAACATCCTAGCTGCCCAGGGTCCAGCCTTGCCAGGTGGTGGTGGGGAACGTGTACGCAGTGCTCCAGCTGCGCCACACGCTTCCATCTCACCCTGGCCTCCCCTCGAGGATGAGCTGGATACCTCGGATCCTGTTGATGACATTGCCTTGGGCGATCGCATTTACTGGTATCAGCGTTGCTTGGCTGCAGAGTCACAGCTGCGGGACGCCCTCAACACGCTCGAGACATGGGAGAGCGCCCTGCCTACGCCTCGCGCTCGTTCCTTGGTGGATCTGCCCATCCAAATGGCCGACGAGGGTAGTCCTGCACCGCCGCCTGGCTACAGTCCCCCCAGCAATGGGGTGCCAAGTGCCCCGGCTTCGTCCTACCGAACCACCCACATCCCTGACTGTATGTTGACTTGCCCCAGCCCTCCTCCATTGTCGCGTTGATCAAAGATCCCTCGTTTGGGCGTGATGGTGATGGCCGTATGCCTTGCACCTGCTGCTCTTGATTCCGTCGCTAACCTTGATGCATGGGTGTACACGGTCCGTGTCTAGATACAAGTGTGATGATTTCTGCGTCGGAAGCACTGCGCGACCAGCTTCTCAAGCAGCGCCTGCAGCTGCGCGATGCTGAGCAGCAGGCCCTGGCCGAGTTGCGTCGCGCGGACGAACTCGCGTCGGATCTTCACCGTGCACACGTCGAAAACAACCGGTTGCGGCGCCAATTGGCCACCTTGCGGCAAGCCAGTGCCCCTTCACTTCTGGTGCAACGCACCAGCAGCGGAGAGATCGAAACCCGAGCCGCCGGAAGCGCGCTCACACCAAACGGGCGTCGGCGCTCCCGCAACAATGTGAGCTTTGCGACCAACCTCCACGAAGCGGCTCCAACCAAAGGCGTCGAGCTCCATCTTGGAGCACAAGACAGCGATGCCAGTCAACCTGGGTCACCGCTCAGGCACCCGATGGCCAAGGATAGTGGACACGGGGAAGAATGCGCCGAGACCGACGGCGCTAACAGCACAGGCAGTTCGGCTCCTGCGACTTTGGAGGTGGATCGTGCCATGTTGCGCTCATCCGTTCGTGCTTTGGGGCGCATGGGTAGCGTCTCCAATACCGGTTCAGCTGCTCGGATCGACAGCGAGGGCCAAAAAGCCGTTCCTTTGCCCTCGCGTGTCGCCAGCATGACCAACTTTTACTCACAACTCCACTCCCCACCATTGTCCCCGGTCAATGGTGCGCTGCCCGTGGGAGCGCAGTCTCTCGCACCCACTCCCAAGCACGGCAGCTCTCAATCGACACAGCCACACGAGACACAGACCGCCGCGCCAACTGTCGTCTTGGGACGCGTGCCGGCCTCGGAATCTGACGATCAAGCCAGTGACGAGCTGGTGCGCACCCCAGATGGTATTCGGGACAGCCCTGATGCGGTGGCACGAACCGTGGGGTTGCAATCAAATCTCACGCGCACCCGGCCGCCGTCCCATCGGCGATTTGAGCTGGAGACGGTCATTTAGTATGCTTCATGGTGTTTTCAGCCCTTGGCCGCGCGCGATTAAGCTCGTCTTCTGTTTTTACTGTCGAGTCCGTGTTGCAACTTGCATCAGCTTGTATTGTACATGACGCTTAGGCTACCCCGTCTGAAAGACCAGTTTGGTCATTTGAAGGAGAAAGAAATTGACGTGTGAAAGAAATGGATGTGGCAGCAGGCAAGATACAGCCAGTTTATGTCTCGGGGCGGGCGCATTCCTCGCGGTCTAGTTCTCAAGTGGTAGTTTTGTGCATAATCAATTCATCTTTAGCTTGCCTCACCGAAGAACAACGACGACAACAACAACAACAACAACTTAGTCGCTGGCAGCAGGAGCCGAGGGTGGGTTTGTTGGCGGGGATGACTGGCCCTGGGCTCTAGCACGATAGAGAGCGGCTTGCTCCGGATCACCCAACTTTTCGCACACTTGCGACATGCTATCGTAGGTGCCCAGCGTATTAGGGTGTTGCGGACCCAAAGTGGGCTCAAGAATAGCGAGGGATTTAGCAAACAGCTCGGCAGCCTTGTCCCAGTTTTCCAAGCCTTTATGGGCGCCACCCATGTTGTTATAGCAAGTGGCCGTGTCCGGGTGTTCAGGACCCAGAGTGGCCAGCTGGATGGCGAGGTCCTTGTCATACAGTTCAAGGGCCTCATCAAAGCGACCCAGAGCCGAACAGGCGCAGGCCATGTTGTTGTAGACGACGCCCGTTTGATGGTGATGTTCGCCAAAGACGGCTAGGCGAATCTTCAAGGCCTTGTGGTAGAGGTCAAGCGCATCCTCGTAGCGGCCAGTGGCATCGTAAACGGAGCCCATATTGTTATACGTGGTGGCCGTGTAGGCGTGCTCTTCGCCCAGGGTGGCCAACCAGGTGTCGAGTGCAAAGTTGTAAAGATCCAGAGCCTCGTCGTAGCGGCCCAGCATTTGGAGAAGGCCTGCCGTGTTGCTGGCCGTGATGGCTGGAAAGGGGTGGTTGGGCTCGAGAATGGCCTTGAGGCTGTTGCGCGCGCGGTCAAAGTACTTGATGGCTTCGCCAAAGTTGCCCATGATCTTGTACGTGTTGGCGAGGTTGTTGAGGATACCGGCCGTTTCGGCGTGCTGCTCGCCCAGTGTTGCCACACGCACGTCCAGTGCGTGCTTATAAAATTCGACGGCCTGTGCGTACTTGCCCTGCTGGCTAGTAATGAGGCCAAGGTTGTTGTAGGAGGTTGCTGTCGAAGGATGCAGCTCGCCGACCTCAACGAGCGAGATGTCCAGGGCTTGTTTCATATGCTGAAAGGCCTCGTCCAGTCGGCCTTGCGTTTTGAGAATCATGCCCAGATTGTTGTGAGCGACGGCAACGGCGCCACGGTCCTCGTTGGCGTCGGAGAGCATGATGTCTAGCACGCGCTGTGCCGCGTGGGCGGCTTGGGCATAGTCGTCCAAGGCTTCGTAGACGGAGGCTAGGTTGCTGTACAGAGCAGCGGTTTGGGGGTGGTCCTCGCCGTGGAGGGCCACTTTGATGCGAAGGGCATCGTTGTACAGTCGCATCGCTTCGTCGTAGTGAGTGAGGGCTTTGTGAGCCAGACCCGTGTGGTTGTAAATGTCAGCGACCTTGTCGGCGTCTGCCCCTAGTTCTTCAACGTACGTGGGCAAAGCTTTGCCGTAGTAGGCGATGGCATCGTCGTACTCGCCAAAAGCGGCAAGAGCAAAGCCAACCGATAGGAAGAAAGCTGCACGAGACATGGGCTCAATGTCGGTCGTGTTATCCATGTCCTTGGCGGCGACGCGGGCCTGCTCGAGACACCAGCCCCGGAGCTGGTCCTTGATGCGGGCGTTGAGCTCGGTGAAGCCAAGCGTGTTCTCAATGGTTTTGAAAATCATGTCACGATCGCTGAGCTTGAACGCTTCAGCCTTTTGAGCATGCACCCGGACGAGCATGTCCATAACAACGTCGGCGTCCTCTCCAAGGGCATCGAGAAAGTCTTTGATTTGCGACTGATGGAGACGAATGTCCAGAATGACCTTGGCGTTGAGGGCATTCATCATCTCAAAGAGGCACCAGGCGCGAGTCATGGGGATGGGATCGCGCCAGGGGCTCATGACCAGCAGCACGCGGCCCATGGCTTTGATGTTCTTCTGAAATGTATTGGACCACCTGACATGAGGCAAAGGGGGTGAGTGGGCCTGATGTGAGGTGACGTGGCCAGCGGGCACGAGCAGGCTTACCATTCGTAGGGTAGATCCACGGCCTTGTGCTGATTGTTGGGGATGAGGTCGAGCCAATAGTAGGCGCCGGGGGCTTCGAATTGTTCGTGGTGCAAGATGGTGTCCAGGGTGGTTTGAAAGGTGTATTTCCAAGCGTGGGAGACGAAGACAGTGGCAGGGGCAAAATGCTGCGCATGGCTTGGGTCCTCCACCAGAAGGTCAACCCAAGCACATTGGCGCTCCTTGGTGAGCGGCATGACGTAGCGCACGCAGATTTCGGTGGTTGTCATTTTGGTATACTCGTCTCCAAATTCTTTTTGGAGAAGAGCTGAAAGCTGGTGAATAAAGTCTGCGTTCACGCCGAGCATGGCGCGCCCTGGGGCCACGCCGCGAGTTGGTAGAGGAAAAACAAAACGACCAGGTGAGTTGCAAGGGCGTGGATGGGATCGGGCATGACACGAAGGAAGGGGGAGAGGTGATGGGGAGCGGAGGGGAACCTGTTTCAGCTGGCGCCTCATCGGGCTCTGTTTGGTTCTGAGATGCTACTGCATCGTTATCGGCGTCCACGGCGGGGTCGGCCACAACACCAGATGCCGGATCTGTGTCATGGGGAGATGGCTCACTTGTCTCCGCCTGCTCTTCGGAGAGTTGTTTGTGATCTTGTGCGCTTGCCTCTTCGTCGGGGATGTTCTCCATTGCTGCGTCGGCTACGTTCTCAGCTGCAGATGAGACTGGTGCTTCTTGCACGTCTTCCTCAGATGGGGCGAGGTCATTGACGGGCGAGGCCGAGGCTGCAGCGGGAGCAACCGCCTCTGGATGGGGATCGGCTGAAGCCGAGGCTTCCACCGCAGCCACAAGGGCGGCCATCCAGGCGTCCCGCTCCGCCTTGGTGGTGGCGAATAGATAGTAGGCGCGTGGATGGCCCTTGAAGGGCGCCACAATCTGAAAGGCAGCGATAATCGCAGGCATGGTCACCAAGGGAACAACATCTTGAGTTGCGAGGATACAAGAATAAAAGCGGGGAGACTAGAAGTGGGGAAACAGAGAACAGGGTTGGGAAGGGGTGGGGGGTCGGGAGAGGGGTCGATGCTGCACCTCGAGGCCATGTCCTGGGGGAAAGGGCTTGACTCGGGTACCAGAGGCGACGCCCGAGGCTTGGATATTACCCCCATAGTTGAAGGTGTTGAGGACGGCACTGGCACTCAAGGGGATGCAGCCCTTTTCGGTACCGCCCGGCTTGGCCAAGTACGCCAGGGCTTGACCTGACCACAGCGCCAAAGAGTCGCGGTGAGATGGCCCGTCCAGCGGATCAAAACAAGGGTAGTGGCGACAAACCTTTGAGGACAAAATAGCGTTGCTGCCATTTCCCACTGTTAAAACCTGAGCGGTGGCATGGTCCGCAGAAGAGAAGCCGAGTGAGACTGGGAAGCGTGCACACACTGATGGCGTTAAGACCACAAAAACAGCCGACAGGACCAGCGCCCGAGCAAGCACACACCAAGCTTGGTTAGGTAACCCTCGTGCACAGGAGCGGTCTCCGCCATGATGAGCTCGATGCAGAAAGCGAGAATACGTGTGTGTGTGTGGTGTGTGGTGGGGGCGAGATTGCTTGTATGAGAGGGGATCAGAGGTATCAGAGAAGGCCAAACCAGAGCGGAGCAGAAAGGGAAGGGGGATCAAGATGTCTCAGAGTAGGATGAGAGGCCCAGAAGAGGAGGAGGAAGAGGAGGAGGAGGAGGAAGAGGAGGAGGAGGAAGAGGAGGATGAGGAAGAGAAGGAGGAGGAAGAGAAGGAGGATCCCAGAGGAAGAGAGGGATTGAGGATGATCCCAGAGGAGGATCTCCAAAGGAGGAGGAAGGAGGATCTCCAGAGGAGGAGGATCCCAGAGGAGGAGGATCCCAGAGGAGGAGGATCCCAGAGGAGGAGGATCCCCACAGGAGGAGGGGGAAGTCGAAGCAGGGGGAAGTCGCAGGAGGGGCAAGTCGGAGGAGTTTGAGTCAGAGGAGGGCGGAGGGGTCGGACAATGGGTCGGATCCAGCTTGATACCGACACGAAAAGTCTGACATTACAGATGGCGAAAGGTGTGAGCATATCGACACTTTCGGTAACGAAATCTCCCTACGACGTCGTAGGGAGATTCAGAGAGTGGGGGATATGGGGATACTTTTGTAGAGATGAAGCGTGAAGCAAAAACCACACTGAGAGAATGTCTTTGTCAGACAGAAAATTGTTGAGGTAATACAAACAGAAAATCAGAGATATGACCCAAGGCAGCAAAAGCTTTAGAAACACGGACCACATTACGCACAGAATGCGCGAAGAACAAAGGATTATCCACTTTGTGTCAGCAAAACAAAGCCAGTCCTTCTCCCCGACGTGTGCACGCTGTGATTTCTTCTCTCTCTGTCTCTGTCTCTGTGTCTGTCTCTGTGTCTGTCTCTGTGTCTGTCTCTGTGTCTGTCTCTGTGTCTGTGTCTGTGTCTGTCTCTGTCTCTCTGTCTCTCTGTCTGTCTCTGTCTCTGTCTCTCTGTCTGTCTCTGTCTCTGTCTCTGTGTCTGTGTCTGTCTCTGTCTCTGTCTCTGTGTCTGTGTCTGTCTCTGTCTCTGTCTCTGTGTCTGTCTCTGTGTCTGTGTCTGTCTCTGTGTCTGTCTCTGTGTCTGTCTCTGTGTCTGTGTCTGTGTCTGTGTCTGTCTCTGTCTCTGTCTCTGTCTCTGTCTCTGTCTCTGTCTCTGTCTCTGTCTCTGTCTCTGTCTCGAGTTGCCATCCGGCCCTCTCTCTGCCCACTCCTCCCTTCCGCCC